TCGTGTGCTATTGAAAGTTTCAATATTATAGCGTTTTTCTATTGCTAAATTAAATGTCTTTTATAGCGACATTTACATGCTGTTTTATATCTTGATATGGCGTTTTATTTTTGTCGTAATATATTTTATGATGACAGTTTTATCTTGCCATGGAATATATTCTTGCAACACTTGCGATTTTCGAGTCTTGCACCTATAATAGCCTTTTCTTACGTTACGGAATAATGTAAAATAGCTTTTTTCTTGTGCTAGGATTTTAATTTCCATAGCTAATTTGAAATGCCAAATATTTCGTAAAATGAATAATTTGAAAATTAATTTTGATTGATATTTTAAATTTTCCTGATATAATTAATTGTTTTATTCGGAATATTGAATAGCATAAATTGTAAATTTAAAAAAAAAATTAAAATCAAGATTTTTTATTAAACTAAAAGACACAAATAACAAAAATGGCAAAAGAAACAATTTAGATTCATACAAACCATAAGCAAATAAAACACAGACAGAAGCAATGGTTTATAGAAATATTATTGACAAGAACCCTTGGCTCGTGAGGAGTGTCCATGTGCTTGGTGTGGGCGTCTCACTGGAGCTGAGTTCCAACCATTCAAGGATCTGATAGCGTTCCGGAACATTGGGTCGATGTCTTCTTCAGGTTCCTCAATGCGTATCAAGTGGTAGCCTTGAGAGCGTCTGAACTCGGCTCTTGTTATCTCTTCCACATCACTGCCTCCTGAGGACTGTCCTGGTTCTGGTATTGGGCGTTGGAATTGAGTTGTGGCTGCTTGTTGTGGCTGTTGTTGTCTGAATTGTGGGTTGCCGGGAGTGCTAAGACTATTTCCTTCCTTGCTGCCATTAAAGTTACTAGATGGAAAAGTTAACCAAAGTTAGATCTTTAAGATAAATGGAAAAAAAAAAAGTTGAGTTTCAACAAATCGAACAAAATACAACCAACAGATTAAATTGAAAAATTAACAGAAGTTAGATCTGAATATATTGGAGTTTCTCTGACCTGGAAATTAACAGAAGTTGGTTATCTTTGAGAAAGGCTTCAAATCTTTGTAGATCTGTAAGATTTGTTTTAATCAGAGAAATATAATAAAGAGATGGATGAGTAAATCAAGGGTTAAGAGGTCGCTATAACCTGTAAGGAGAGAACTCTGTAAAGTGGAGATTGAATTGTGGAGGCTCGGAGAGAGAAGGCGTGAGAGAAAATTGTGAGAGAGATTTGTGGTGGAGAGAATCGTGAGAGAGAATCGTGAGAGAGAATCGTGAGAGAGATTTGTGGGAATGAGATAAAGAAAATACCTTTACTTTGGCTCCTAAAATTAGGAAATTTTTGTTTTCCCTCCAGAAACTAACTCGACCAATGAGGGAGAAGGGCGAGGATAACCTAAAGGAGTAATCTACACCGTTTAATCATCTCAATCCAATGGATGAAATGTGTCGATTTTTTTATTGTTTCTCTCCTATTGAGATAACGACAATATGGAGATCAACTAAGAACAGCATCGATTTTGATTGGTTTCGAGATGATTTAGGATGGTGTAAACTTGTATTTGAATGTGTATATACATTATAAGTGATCATATAACCAATAGAAACTAAAATATGGAAAAAAACAGCATTTTGTGGACATATATACACTAAACACTCAAAGTTAACCAAGTTATACCCTAACCACTAAAACTTGACATAAACATGTTTACCCTAAATGACAAAGGTTTGGAAAGCTTACTTTGATTATTGTTATTTTTGCTAACCTTCACTTAACACAATCTGTATTTTTTCAATGAATCATTGAAAACTATCATTACCTAAACCTTTAACACTAATACAATCCCTACACCACGAAACCCTATCGTTACCCTATCTTTACCCTAAACCCAAAATGTTTTTTTATTTGTTATTTGAAATTATGGGCCTTGTTGTTTTTTGTTTCGACAACCATTCATAAATTTTATAAAACCCAAAATTATGGGCCTTGTTGTGAATTAAGATAAACCGTGAAATCATAAAACACTTAATTAAGTTACAACTTTATCCTCTGGCCAAGCAAGACAGCTTCCAAATGCATCTTCCATATACTCGATCTCAGACGATGGCCTCCACACAGCAGCATCTCTAACCTTCACAACATCCACAAAGACGCGACATGCACCAGACCCCAAAGGTTGAAAGTGGACAAGATGTTCAGGATGATTCGATGACCAACGTCCTTCAGCGACGACCACATTATTTCCGGACAGATCCATCAGCTTGATTTTTTGATTAGGCTTGAATTTGTTACGCTGCAACCACAAACCACAATACCACAAAGCAGAACCAATATTCAGGAATGATAACCACAACCACTCAAGTAGTGCAAGGACAGAAACTACCTGTGATCTGCGAAGAGGAGATGCTGGAATTACAGGTTGCTTTGTAGGAGCTGGTGGGGTAACTGGAGAACCCTGAGCACTAGACTGAACGTTGACACCTGTTGCAGGTTTAGCAGTAGCTGTTGCACTTAGTGGAGACTTTTGATTCTTAAAAGCCGGACTTGCTGATTTTGAACTTCCGGCCATAGAACTTCCTGCTGTAGAGCTGGGTTTTTCGGAGTCAAACATAACTCTATTTGCTGGCCATGCTAGAAAACAATTATGATAATCCTCCATAGCTGTCTTCCCCACAGTAGGCCTCCATATGTATGCATCAGGGTTTAATACCTCATCCACATACACTTTTATTGCATTTGGACCAAGAGGAAGTCCATTCACCAACGTTTTTGGTTCTTTTGTCTGCCATCGGCCTACAGCAACGACTTCCTCATTATGCACGTAGTCCATGAGTTTGCATTTGTTATTAGAACTGCTGAAAGGGCTCTGCAAAACAACACAAACAATTTTGAATAAGAAAGACCCCCGACTGAGAGTCAGATTCAGCTACATAGGAAGAGGAAAATTAACCTTAGGAGCATTATCATCTGGTAAAGAAGCTGCAGGAACAATACAATGATCGGAATGCCATGCTATCATTTCTCCTACTGCATCCTCCATAGTAAACATATTAGGTGCAGGTCTCCATAAAAATGTTTCTGGTATTGTTGCAGTTTCAACTAAAACCTTCACAGCATTAGGCCCTAACGGTATCCCATTAACTAACTCATCAGGTTCACAAGAAACAACCCGTCCCTCAGCGACATTGACATCAACAGCAGACCAGTCCACAAGAAAACACTTGGGTAGTAACTTCGTATTTACACTCTACATGCAGGACAAAATATTCAAATCAATTCTTAAATACAATTATCGAGATATATTGATTCAAAGTAAGTTCTACCATACCTTGTTATTTGAGTTTTCACTGACATCAGTGTCAGGAGCCTGGTTATTCATTCTGGCAATTTGCTGCTGTAAAATATGAACCTGTTTCTCCAGAGACACATGTTTTTCTTGCATGGCAGCCACGAAGCTGTTCTTAATTTGTAAACAGTTTAACTTGGTGGTGCTAATGCCTCTGCCCATAGCTCTGAACCGCCCAGGTTGATCAGGTCCCAATATCTCAGTTATCAGATCTTGCTTTGGATTCGTTGAGGATGAATCTGCACGACCCTCAACTTCTAACTCCGACGCCTTTCTCTGGAAAAAAATGTAAAATCAGTGTTCACATACAAGAAATCAGAGAAATAGTAATCACCAAGCACCAGACAATCCAACTCCATAAAATAAGTGTTCACAGAGTAACTTACTATCTTTTCAGCCGCAGTGACATTGACAGGCGTTCCATCCTTCTTAGTTCGTGATTTTACCCACACTCTTAGCCTAGACACCTGTGATGGGTCTTCGCTAGCCTTAACCAGATCTTCTCTCAATCTCACCATTCCTTTACGACCGCAAGTGTGAGGTATCTGCTTCTGTCTTCTTTCTCTGTAAGCGTCACTGACAACCTTGAAGGTGGTACTTGTCTTCTCTTTGATGAATTTACGCCATTCAGCCACAGTTACATTCTTCGGACGCAGGTTCATCCTTGCGCTAATGGTAGGAGCATTCCTGATTGAGGTCACCAGACGTGATTTGGATGCTCTCCACAAACACCCCATCTGCTTAAACAAAGCATCCTTTTTGAAGTCTTCGTCCACGTCGAACCTCATCTGTAGAGTGGTATGAGAGAAACATTAACACACAACCATAATTAATAGCAATTGTATCTTCAGTAACCAAAATTAATAGCAATTGTATAATTTGATTCAGCTTACCTTAATCGATTTCCATAGCACAGTTCTGATATCTTCAGTAACCTTCCTCCAGTTATCAATGATCAGAGGAACATGCTCACGTACTAATGGACCCAAATAGGAGGATAACAAGACAGACCCTGGACCACAAGGTTCTCCCAAATCAGTGAAGTCAACATGTAGCCGTTCATTTGGATCCTTGGCTATGTGCTTCATCTTCGTTGCTCCTCGACGTATTTTACGTCGTTGCTCTTCTTCCATTTGACCTCGCTCTGCCTCCTCCATTTCATTCGGCATTTGATCCTGCTGTTCCTCCTCCATTTCATCCTGCAGTTCTTCCTCCATTTCTTCCTGGTCTTCATCCTCCATTTGATTCTGCTCATCCTCCATTTCTTCTTGGTCTTCATCCTCCATTTGATTCTGCTCATCCTCCTCCATCTGATTATGCTCTTCTTCCTCTAGTACTTCTTTGTTTGTAACATCTTCGAGAAATTGCTCTGCTTCAACCTCCTCCTCTGTTTGCTTCTTCTTCGGTGTCCTACTCTTCTTCAGACGCTTGTTCCTACGATTCCCCATCTAGGTTCACCTGAAACATTAAAAAAATTGTTTAGTGTCAATATAGCAAAACAGAATGAAACAACACTAAGTCAACACTTATAAAACAGACAGTTAATCAAAACATGCAATCATCAAGCCACGCAAACAACAGACAATTCATTACAAAACAAAAAAAATCATCAACCAATTCATTACAAAACAAACATGAAAAAAATGCTTCCTTTCAGACATAAATTCCTTCACAGTCAGCCCGAGCATTTGTACTATCATCAACCAAGTCATGAGCATCCATATCTACAACTGCTGGCAATGGACCAACATCTGCATGACCATCTTCACAATCTTCTTCAGTGTATCTTCTTGTAGGACCTCTCATAGCTACATACCAAGTGGATGTCTCATCTACTCTGGAATAAAATACTTGCTTGGCTTGTGAGGCGAGGATGTATGGATCTCTAGCAAAAGCCATTTGGCTTTGGTTCAGGTTGACTAGTGTGAAGCCATCTTCTACCTTCACTCCGTTTCCTATGTTTGCCCATAGACAGCGGAAAACAGGAATGTAGAATGTGTTGTAGTCGATCAGTATAATCTCCACCACTCTGCCATAGTAACTTACTAAATCAACCATCTGAGAAGTGTCTTTTGCACTAGAACGACACATTGCTGTTGCCTCGTACAGAACACCACTGTTCTGAGTTTGTCTGTCAACTGATATGGTGTGAAACCGCAGACCATTGATGATGTAGCCACTAAAAGACCTTGCGTTTGCCCTAGGACCATAGGCCAGCCAGTTCAGTGTTTCATCGTGATTCTCTGAAGTTACTGGTATCTGCTCTTTCAACCAAGTCGCAAATTTCTGCGTATGGGTTCTCCATAATGTTGTTGCATCACGTCTACATCTCTCATTACTGTCCTGTAGATGTTGTAGGTGCATGCTGCAAATGGAACACATGAAAAATTATTTACGAAACCTAAATGTAAAAGCACTTAGAAGTAGGGTTTTCAAAAGGATTAAAAAATTCAAGACTTACTCCACGTAAGGTTCCACGCTTGCCATGTTCTGAATCACAGAGAGATGTACAATGTTCAAGTCCTTCTCAGAAAGAACACA